TTATTATCACGTTAGTGAATATCAGTCAGTTATGTGCCATGTGTGATACACGCTTTGGCGATTATGTATCTTTCAATACATGACTGACGAGGCAGATTTTTTTTTCCGCAGTAGGTTGCTATTTCTTTCTGGGGTAGACCAGTTGCCATTCAAGGTTATAGAATCCGGTCTGTTTTGCTATTTACTCATAGCTGAGGGGGGGAGGATTCATACCTGTTCTGCTATTTACCCATAGCTGGGGGGAGTAGAGGATTCATACCTTTTCCTTTGCACGTATGTGAATGTAATGGATTTGATTGGAATTCGAACTCGGCTCTCCGATTCCTCAATCCGAGACGCTATCCATGATGGAACCTGAGGCTGCAAATGACAGGAAACCTGTATCTAGGGTCTCAGTTGTCTTACACGCGTTAGTATGCGTTTTGCTAGCGGTTCTGTGTTTTATGCAAAAGCTCCGTTTGGCGCAGAATTAAACGCGAGTTATATTTTTTCTACACGGCGTATCTGCCTTTTGTTGCACCTTCGCCTTTTCACGACGTGAATTCTTTTCATTCGGCAAACAGTCGCTTTTCAGTTGCAATTGGGCATCTAAAAGGCTCCTCCACCCCCTGGTGAAACATGGTTGTTAACACTAAAGGGTTGTGCGATTCAGTGAATGCACCCACGTGGCTAACACAACACCGGCAATACACAAGGACCGGTAATGACATGAAAAAGCGAACAATGAATAGAAGGCGAAAATAAACAGAGTTAAAAAAAAAAAAGAAAGAAAAATTGTTTTCCTTAAAGAATATTGTCTTTTTATTATGGCCTTCATTAACGCGTGATTAAACCCTTCTGTATTTAGTTAAAAAAAAAAAAAAAGAAGTGAAATTAGATGGAGCGTGGGTGCCATTTAATCTCTGGATAAAACCGTTTCCTAATTTTAGAATCAATTTTATAATACAGTATCCGTCAAAACAGTATGGAGTTTTAAGTATGGTTCAAAATTTCTGCCTGGGATCAGTGAACTATTTTTGTACTCTCACTAGGAAAAAAAGTGCTGTTCCCACGGAATTTCATTGTTTCTTTACCCGACGTTCAATATACGATCAGAAAGTGTATGCAGATATGAGTTGAAGATAACGGCTAAATCTAGATTTGAACAGGTTAAGATTATAGTGACCAGGAAGCCACGTCTTGAGTGTCGTGTCAACAAGACGTTGGTTCGGGGGAAAGAAGATACTTAAATGGAAACTTACACCCTTGCGCAAATTAATTTAAACAAAACGAATAATTTTGTTTTTATTTACTTTTTTTTGTATTTTTCCAATGAACCACTGCACATGATAGAACATGGTATGTCCATCCCACGAAGCAGATTGTGTTGGAATTTTTGGGTAGGTTTGTACTAGTGAGCTAGCTAAAATGAGCTGACTCATTTTATAGTTCACCGATAGAATGGTTAACCAATCAGAAAGCTCAAAATATTCAATCCGACGTGTATAAAGGCAGCCATTTTGTTTTTTCTCCAAAAATATCTTCACTGCCAATCTCTGATATCGAAGACCTGAAGAATTACAGAACAGCTGCTACTAGTGATATTGGCGTTGTTCCATTGAACACATTACGTACTGCACTGGATTCTATATTCAAAGTCTACGGCAAATATGGTTAACAGATTGACCACAGATTCTTGATTGGGTTTAAATCAGAAGACTTCCCGGTCCAGTCTATAATACTTTGATTTGCTCACTGGTAAATCTTACCAGTGTGTCCGTGTCATGTTACAATTTTCGTACGCTTTCTTGGAGTAACGTCCATCGCAGACAATGGCCGTAGGACAACTAATCGACAGTCGAGAAAATAGTGTCTGGGAGTGATGAAAATCTTATGCAATCACGGATGACGTAATATTTTTCAAGGCCAAATAAATTTCATCATACGCCACGAAAATAGATTCATATTATTGAACACCACTGCAAATGGCCTTATCTGAAGAAAAATAGAAGCTGATTAAAACCTGTCATTCCTGTGGGTCTAAAACTGACCGCATGGTGAAAGAAAGGAATCTAAAGCGGTTGTTTCAGTTAATTTACACAAAGGTGTACATCTCACGAAAAGAATATGTTGAGAATGATTTTGGTTCGCTAAAATTCTGTCTGGGAGAAGTGCACCATTTATGACATCTTCCACGGAACAATGTGCTGTTCCCACGGAATTTGGGTCAAGGTTCGTTGTTCCTTTACCTGACATTCAGAATCCAATCAGAAAGTGTATGCGGATATGTGTGGAAGATAACGGCTAAATCTAGACTTTAACAGCTTAAGATTGTAGTGATCAGGAAGCAACACCTTGGGTGTCGTGTCCAATAGGCGTTGGTTCGGGTGCGGGAAGAAGAAGCTACTTCAGTGGAACTTACAACTTACCAGGGAGATAAGTAGGAAATGACGGTGGTTCGCTAAAATGGGCGTGGCATGGCGTGTCCTAGCCCTGAAAGTTAAAACTAGTGGAACTAAAGAATGTAGTGTTGACCATGTTCACCATAGTTTATGAATATAGAATACAGCGCAGTACGTAATCTGTTCAATGAAACAACGTTAAAGATTAACACTCCCGAGTCAGACACTACTGAATCTGACTCTATCACCAATACCACCAGCAGCTGTTCCGTAATTCTTCAGTCTTCGATATCAAAGGCTGGCAGCGATATTTAGCCACCCCCACGAGAGTTACATGTGGCACAAGGCCGGGATTAACGTGGGATCTCCGATCCTGTAGGCTCGGCCAAAAATATTCCCTATTCAAACGCGAATAAACTGGTTTAAGAGCAGACAACCTCCCCGAACGAGACTCTGCCCTTCGGCGGAGCCTCGTCCGGGTTATCAAAGACTGGCAGTGCATATTTAGCTATCCCCCCACGAGGGTTACATGTGGCACAAGCCCGGGATTAACGTGGGATCTCCGAGCCCGTAGAATCGGCTAAAATATTCCCTATTCGTGCGCGTATAAACGGATTCAGGGGCAGTCAATTCACCGAACGAGACTCTGCCCTTCCTCGGAGCCTTGTATGGGTTATCAAAGGCTGGCAGTGAATATTCGGAAAAAACATGGCCACCTTTATACACGTCGCATTGAATATTTTGAGCTTTCTGATTGGTTAACCCTTCTATTGGTGAACTATAAAATGAGTCAGCTCATTTTGGCTGGCTCACTAGTACACCAGGGTACCCCAAAATTCCAACATGCAGTTCATCTGAACACTCTCCATGGAAATAGAGCAGCGAATGTATTTTGAAAGAGGGATTGTTATCCTTTGCTAAAATATTTATCTGGTACACATGACATACAAAATTTGAAATTAACATTAAATTCAAGCCCTGGAGGGCCATCACTATTGCAGTACCTGTCCTTTGGGAGGTGTTAGGGTTTTTGCCTTGCGCCTGTGGCGTCCGTAAAAGGGGAAGTACCTTGAGTGCTGAAGCAATTTTTCAAAGGTATTGCCATTAAATCCATTTTAAATCTCAACCTTGTGTCACCTTTGGTAGCGGCGAAAAATATAGCATACATCTATATATAAAATTTAATGAGTTTGGTTAGTCCGTCGGTTAGTCCCTCTAAAATAGCCATACATTGACCAATCAAAGCAAATTTCGGGGAGAAGTGCAAACTAGTAAGGGGGTACAAATTACAGTTGGTTTTACTAGGGTGCATAGCTTGCTACAATAAATTTTCATTATTCATTTTGGAAAAATTAAAAGTTTATTATTTAACATTCAAAATAATCGCACTATTTAAAAAAGAATTTAATGATTAAAAAAACAAATACTTATTCTATAAAAATACAATATATATATTTATATATAAACTACAATCTTAACCTGTACGAGTCTAAGGTTAGATGTTATCTTCCACAAATATAGGTTTTATATATACAAGAATACAGTTTCTAGTTTGCGAGAATTATAAAGAAATAACAAGGCCAAATGCTTCCCAATGTTGGAATTTGGTTACAGAAAGAAATATTTACGCATGACCAGTTGCATGTTGCATGCTCAAGAGTAAGAAATCCAAAGAATTTGTTCTTCTCTGTGAAAAAGAAAAAAAAAAAGAAGCAATTTTTACCATATAATTAAATTAAATTAAAGGAATTATTAAACCACAAAGTAGGGTTTTTGTCAAAGTATTTTTCCAAACAAATCAGCTTCTTCAAATTTCATTGATTGGTTTGCTAAATTGAACGCAACCTAGAGTTTGAAAATTTCGACAAAATTTTAGAAATAATTTCAAGAATATTAAGTAGTCAGAACTTCAACATGTGTCAGCGTGTTGCAAAAAAAGAAAAAAAGAAATTCTATTATATAAAAAACACGGATTTGGACTGCTTGTTTTTTCGTTCGTTTAACGGCGTATCAACATCTTATGGGTCATTTAATGCTGAAATTTAATTTTCTTGGGATTTTTAGAAATTTAATTTTTTTTTTAAAAATCTATACTTTCATTTTTTTACTCCCGTTTTGTGGTTCACTATTTGCCCATAGCTGGGACCCTAACAGGTGCTACCACCCCGAGTCAGGGTGGACCTGTAGACAGCATCAATTGCGAGGTGGTTCCACATTCTTCAAAACCTCCCGATCAGAGGTCGTGTTGTCGGATTTAGTTTAGCGTAGTTTATAAATAACAGTACAACATATTTCGTTCCTGATGTTTTTAAAGAAAACGTATAATGGAGACGCGAATGAATTAAAAAAAAAAAAAAAAAAAAAAAGGAAAAAGACACTCCTAGCATATTGTAAATCTAAGAGTCATTAAATACAAATCTAATCTAATGTAATCTAATCTGATGCCCTAATCACATTAGCAAATGATAATACGAGAAGAAAGAACCATTTTCCATGAAGTCTGAGATAAGGAATTCCTTATAATACTGGTTTGGGAGAAGAGTTCATGTGTTTTAAGTCGATTTCAAATCAATACCTAGACATAACTGTTATTTTGTTCCACTACCGTATAACAGCTTATGGCAACATCACGTTGAAACATCGCTTCCCGGACGATCACCGAAGGTAAGCAACGATGAGCCTGGTCAGTACCTTGATGGTTGACCGCTTGGGAATACCAAATTCTGTAAAATTGAATATGTGGGTGGTATAGCTTACGGCCATATCACGTTGAAACATTAGCTCCCGTATTATCGCCGAAGTTAAGCAACGTCATGCCTGGTCAGTACCCTGATAGGTGACCACTCGGGAATACCAAATTCTGTAAAATTGAATATGTGGGTGCTATGGCTTACGTCCATATCACGTTCAAACATCAGTCCCGTATGATACCGAAGTTAAGCAACGTAGTGACTGGTCAGTACTCTGATGGATGACCACTGGGGAATACCAACTTCTGTAAAATTGAATATGTGGGTGGTATGGCTTACGGTCATATCACGTTGAAGCACCGTACGATCAGCGGAGTTAAGCAACATCGAGTCTGGTCAATAAATCATCAAATTTATTTTACCTCAAATAAATTCTTACACACTAAAGACATTTTCTGGCTTTAAATAACCTGCGAAGTGTCGATAAACTGTAAATAAACAAATCAATGAAACTCTTTTTGCTGCTTCTAAAGCCTCTGATATTAGATTATCCTATATTAAATTATCCTATATCACATTCTGTACTTTTTTAAATACCGGGCAAGATCCTGGTAAATTTTCCAGTCTGCTGCACTTTCATAATTACACCTCCTCACCTGCACCAAAGAAGGCCAAGTTCGTTTGATCTGCAAGTAAGATGATGGCCCGTTTTGGGGGATGTAAAACGCATTGTGTTTATTGATTATCTTCAGAGGGCCACATTATCAAAGGAGAGTACTATGTCAGCATGCTGAAGCAGATATGAAATGCTGTCCTGATAAGACAAAATAGAAAATCTAACGAAAGGGCTTTCGTTTTATCAACACCCAAGTCCTTGGTTTCAATGGCAGCTATGCGTCAGTGTGCTTTGAACTGTTTGATCACAAGGACTATCATCTGTTCCCCAACATGAAAACAAAACCTCTTGATTGCGAACCAGTATTACGTCATATCTGCTGTCGATGACGTTTTTGGGCAACAGGAAGTAGAGTATTCTTTGAACAAGTCGGAGGTCAGTTTACCTGAAAAAAAATGCAGTTATTAATAAGAAGCGTTACGCAAATGGGGCTTAAAATTAATCAATTAGTTATAGTAAACCTAAAAAAGTATATCAGGAAAAATTAATTCGACGTTCAAATTACCAGTGTAACAAGTCAAGAGTTATCTTTCCAGCCAAAGAGCATAGATGAAGTTTTTTTAGGTTCGGCTTTATATTTATATATATATATATATATATATATATATATATATATATATATATATATATATCCAGGGTCGATAAACTAGATCTGATAGCAAGGAGGTTTTGAGAAACGTGGAAACACTTCATACCTGCTGTTGTTCCCAACTTCACCCTGACAAGGACTGGTAGCAACTGTTAGGGTTACAGTTATAGGCAAATAGTGTACCCCCCTGCAAACAAAACACTATGGAACTATAAGATTACATTTTTATTGTAAAAATACAAAAACATTTTTATATATAACAAAATGACCAACACTACATTTTATCTGTATTTGAATGCATACAATTGTGTTCAAAATATATTTAGTTGAAGCTATACAATCGTGTTCAAAATGCATGCAAGATTTCACAGCTTCATCTTCATAGTCAGCCCAAGAAATTTTCATCCCACCCTCGTACCTGGAAAGAAACGATGCAGTTATTAATAAGAAGAGTTGAAATTAATGCATGTAAGGTTTCACAGCTCTAGCATCGCTCCTTCATAGTCAGCCTGCGAACTTTTCAGTCCATTCTCGTACCTGGAAGAAAACAATGCAGTTATTAATAAGAAGAGTTGAAATGAATGCATGTAAGGTTTCACAGTTCTAGCATCTCTCCTTCAAAGTCAGCCTATGAACATTTCAGCCTACCCTCATACCTGGAAACAAACAGTGCAGTTATTAATAAGAAGAGTTGAAATCAATGCATGTAAGGTTTCACAGCTCTAGCATCACTCCTTCATATTCAGCCTGTCAACTTTTCAGCCCAGTCTCGTACCTGGAAAGAAACAAGACAGTTATTAATAAGAAGCGTTGAAATTAATGCATGCAAATTTTTGCACAGGTCTAGCGTCACTCCTTCATAGTCAGCCAATGAACTTTTCAGCTCACCCTCCTATGTAGAGTCACCTCCTTATACTATTGGAACAGCAAGACCAAATTCTTTGTTTTTGTTGTTCACTGAAGAGATTTGATTTTAAGATCAAAAGATAAATATAAGAAGGAAAGGAGACTGAAGGAAGAAAAAAAACCAAAACCAAAACCAAAACACACAAGAATTTAAAGAGGAGGCATTAAAAGCCAGGAAAAGCATTGCAAACGAAGAATGCAACAGTTCGGGGATGTCAGTGGCTCGGAGTTCTTTGTGCAGTTATTGTAAGCAAGGGTTATGCAACCAAATAATCAATATTTTACATTTGCTCATCTAAAAATGGGATGAATTGATACAAAAGGCGGGTATGTCCAGAGCTTTTTAATATGTCTAAATGTAAATTCCAGGAAATTTGAACTGAAATTCTAAATTCTTTTCTCACGTTCATTTTTTGTTCTTAAGCACAAATGTTTTCAGTGAACAATAAAAACGAATGAATTGGCCTTGCTGTTCCAATACTATTGGAGAGGACTGCATATATATATATATATATATATATATATATATATATATATGTAGCAATGTATGTATATATGCACATTTCATTGAATACAACAGACATGGTGCTTTTATTTAGTTTTTTCTACAATTTCTCATGCGATCTAATAATTTTTTTCTTTCCGGATGATAAATTATATAAAAACTGTGCGAATGTTCTTTTTATCCGAGCTCTTTCGGCTATACATTTAGCCATTTTCAAGGATTATATTTTAACTATTAAAATTAGAAATAGTTTGTTGTATGTATGTTTTATAAAATGTTTTCATTTTTCAAAACACGGTCAAGATATTGTGTCCATGTTCAATGTTAATATTATTAAGTGTTGTTTTTTTTGTTTTTATTAATAAGGTGTCCATTATTTTTAGCCTTTTTTACATGTAGATGATGCTATTATATTAGTGTTGTCAACAAGTATGTTACGAATAGTGTCTGGTAGGTCTCCATGAATATTTAAATGAGATCTAATTGAGCTATGGTCAGAAAGGTGTAGAGTGAGTCTGCGTGTCAAACATGTTGTAGTTTGGCCTATATAATTATTTACGAATTTTGATTGATCAGGAATACGATTCCTTAATAGGCATTTAAATTCGTAAATAATATTTGCCCTATTTATTAATAAAAACAAAAAACTCAACATTTAATAATATTAACTTTGAACATGAACACAATATCTTGACCGTGTTTTGAAAAATGAAAATATTTTATAAAACATACATGCAGTTTACAGCATTTACTATTTAAAAAGTGCTCAATAAAAAGTAGAGCAAACTATTATAATATTTTTATAATAGATTATAATAAAAACATTTTATATCCCTACACAAAAGCTTTCATGTTTCAATACTATGATTGTACTTCCTCAGGCGATGTTAGATAACTTGTGATATAATTTGTGAGGGCACAAGTTATCTAACATCGCCTGAGGAAGTACAATCATAGTATTGAAACATGAAAGCTTTTGTGTAGTGGTATAAAATGTTTTTATTATAATCTATATTAAAAATGATGGAACACATTCTTTAAAAGAAACCTTTATATTCCAACACTTCTTCAGAAAGATTCGTTGAAAAAAACAACAACAAAAAAAACAAGACATACAAAAAACTAGTCATGAATGGCGAAATTGGAAAAGTGAATGTGTGGGGGGTAAATAAGGAGCCACGACTAAAATAAATTTATTACTCAAACAATAAATTGATGTAAATACGCTCATAGTGAGTTGAAAACAACAACAAAAAAATTGTACTCACGACCCACTCATGAGACCCAGAGAAGGAAAAAAAAATTCTTCTGTTTGCACAAAGTCGGTCGATGAAGTTTGATATGAACAGATTCTAAAAAGCGTAAATGTTTGGCAGGCCGAGATTCGTGCGTTACCCTAAACGCTTCTTCAGAATATTTCAAAGAGTAACCCGGGTTTTTCACCAAATGTCGTCTAATCGCTGACTCAACAAACCGACTGAGTCGACAGAATACTGTCGCTGAATCCACACTATTTTATATGTGGAGGTGAGTGCTGTTCAATTCTGGATTCCAACTGCAAATTAGTTCGTTCCACATAGTCAGCATCACACTGACATTTTAATTGATAAATAACAAAACTGACCGATGTATATATAAAAGACAATGGCAAAACTTATATTAGCCAATGTGTTTCGTCTTTATCATTTGTTAAATATATATATATATATATATATATATATATATATATATATATATATATATATATATATGTGTGTGTGTGTTAAAGTCAAAAGGAAAACTAATCTGGGCAGACACGTTCGTCCTCTGAGATACTTTATCAAGGCAAATGACGTCATATATTATAAAATGGACTAAGTCCGACAATTATTTTAATGTATTTATATATATATATGTGAATATCTATCTATATGTATATGTATATATATGTATGTATATGTATATATATATATATATGGATATATATATATATATATATATATATATATATATATATATATATGTATATATATATATATATATATGTATATATATATATATGTATACATATGTGTATGTATATGTATATGTATATATATATATATATATATATATATATATATATATATATATATATATATACACACACACACACACACACACACACACACACACACACACACACACACACACACACATTTTGTGGAGCAGTGGTGGTAAATCTTTTGGATTGAGGAATCAAAAAGCCGAGTTCGAATTCCAGTCGAATCCACTGCATTCACTTATACGGAAGGACAACTCTGAATTCAAAACCTGGAGGAGGGTCGTTTGGGAACCTTGTGGCATGCATTCGGTCTAACCAGGTTTCTGTATTCGTCCCTCCAAAAAGTGTGTCTGGTCCTGCATAAAATGTTTTTATATAAACCACTATCATGTGCCGGTGTCGGGATGTCGGTTTCTGGGGACTTATCGGCCTGACCCTCATACGTCGAACGCGACGGAGAGTCGTTATA